AACCCTGTATTAGTATTTTATCTAGCTAATACGAATGAGTATAAGACATGAGTGCGAAAAAGAAGTCCCACGAGACTTATACTCATTCGTACTAGCTGGATACAACAATTTGTAACAAATGTCCAAGGAAAAAGCCGTCTGGCCTTTTTTTTTTTTACGACAAATGGCACTTTTAACCTGCGTCAAAAATATTTTTTAATACGTTTCCCCTTCCTTACAAATATTTTAGATGTCTGAGACGTCACTATCTTAAATTTTTTAATAATTTTATAATCATTTGTCCACAAAATAATATTTTAAGACTCCCTCTGGCGATACATTACGAGGTATTTTTTGAGCATTTGATCCAAATAATATATATTGTGACGACCCTTTTTAACGGTGACGCACAAATAAATGGCACTGCAAGAAATAATTAATGAAATACTTAATTATTGGGCGCCAGGTATAACCAGAGTTACACCGCTGTCTCCTAAGGACACCCTGGCCAGCTCTTATGCGGTGGGGTCCTGGGTGACGCACAAATAAATGGCACCGCGAGAAATAATTAATGAAATACTAAATTATTGGGCGCCAGGTATAACCAGAGTTACACCGCTGTCTCCTAAGGACACCCTGGCCAGCTCTTATGCGGTGGGGTCCTGGGTCTGGGAGACAATAATAAAAATCTGAAAATTAGGGAGGTTCACTCTAAAAAATTACTGGAAACGACAAACTATCGGAACCAAAATCCGGAGACGGATCCGATTTATTTTAAATAGAAAATATAAGAACAAGATGGTGAAATACAAATGATAAGTACAGAAAAGTGATCGTGCTGGTGCATAACACACTGGGATATTTACCCGAACGATATTATACAATAATGTTCCCGCTGGAACAACGCAACATACGATACGATATAACAAACGATACGGTAACGATAATAAGCGGTACGATATTGACTCACGCACCTATGTGTTAGGGAGACGATTCCGCGAGACGTGGACTGAACGGTTAGACACAAAACCGGAAGGAAGAATCGAAATAATGAAATAAAAGACCGATCTCCTGTTTGTCACCAGATTAGCTATCCTTGGACCCTTAGCGGTCAGGAAAGCGCAGGATGACGCGTAAGAGTACGTCGAACAGATAAGATCGGTTGATCCCGTGAATTAAAAAAAAAAAAGCCAGAATACCCCTGAGCGTCACTCACCGTTGTCCAGTAGCTCCTACTATTGCCAGGAACACACTCTCCTGGATTATAGGCCCTCAAACGTATCACGATACAATAAATAGAAAAATCGGTAGAAAACGATAACACGTCTATCCCTAAGTTTGGCCACGCCGTGAGTGACGCTACAAATTTCTAAAAGCGGGAAACTTCCTGAGAGCGCGCTGTAATACCACCCCCTGGTTCAATCAGGTTCGCTGTTACATCGGCTCCGCTAGCTAGCTCGCGATCTTCAATTGTTTTAACGATCCCGGTAAAATAGATCCTGGCATCTTGCTACGATAGGATGGCCGCAGTGCCGTTTCCGGAAGGCGGAAATCACATCCACCTCTACTACCTCGATATTCGGCGTCACGCCGCTTCTGCAACTCCTGTATGCCCTTTGCTTCTGAAGACGCTCGCCGCTTGCTTCGCGTAGTTGAGCCACCAGGTTGTGTGCTCCGGTCTTTACGTCACCTCTCCTTGACAGCGGTACGCCAGGCCCGTAGTTGGCTCTCTCTCGGGCCCCGTCCCAATACAAATTGTGTCGAATCCTCTCGGATTCGCTTAATGAATTCAAAAACAAACGAAACATTCCCCATAGGGAAATAAATACAAATTCTTAAAATAAAGTCAGTCCAACGCCACGCGAAACGCTCCGCAACCCATCCGGCCCCACGACGTAGCCGATTTCGCCTAATTTCGTGACGTGCGTCTAAATGCCACGTCGCAATATGTATATATATCAGTTTTCTTAATTATCAAGAAGTCAATACTTCTCTTGTGTTTCTCAGCGTCCTCGGTCGGTAATGCAGCAAACTGGCCACATGAGTATCATTTATCAACCGCAGATTTCTCTTTACCGGCTTACCGACAGTGTCCGATTCCAGGTAAAGCTGCGATCGTTGATAATATTTACCTTCTCTGGTGAATTTACCATTCACCATGGTACATCGATTTGGTTTCGTAAAACGTGACACCTTTTTTATCCAGAAGCAGTAATTGGGAAATCCGTCATGCCGAGAAACACAAATAAAACTGTATCCTTCCGTAAATGTTTTTTTTTTTTTTTTTTTTTAAGTAAATCGTGTAATTAATTTTCTATTGCTTTCCTACGGAGTATTGAAAGACAACATTTACTGCGCCCTTTTGACGTGAACCATTAAAGTCTAATGTTTCGCAGTAAAAATTAACAGGATCAGGGAAGAGAATGTTTGAATTTATATCATGACCTGCATAAATCCACAGGGAGAAACGTCTCGGTGCGAAATCGTTACCGTCATTAATTAGGCTCAATTCAAATTAGCAAACTAATTAACCGCACTTAGCGATCGCTGACACAGTTCTGCTTACCAGCAGTTAGACGTCCTGTATTTCATTACTGGCTGTCATCAACGACTTTTACTTCACTCTGATTCTCCAACATTTCCACGTTACGTGCGCGCGAGTAGACGTTTACCTGTACCGCCTGCATTTCCCGAGGCCCGATCTCTCCGTGCATTTGTCCTCTATCCTCTCTATTCGCTTCTCCTCTCTCCAGACCCCCCTAGACTTTTCCACGATATTCCAAAGGCCCCATTCCAGTCTCGTAAAAGTGCAGAGCACTCCCTGCCATCTTTGGATACGACACACCCGTAGCTACGTAAACCGTAAATATTCAATACAAATTGCGTGGACAGAAACCTTAGCAATTTTGGACCACTCCCACCTAGTCTTATATTGCTACTTCTTGTACGTCGGTATCACGGCAGTCAGTCACAGGATTCGAAAGTCATTGGCATGCCATTACGAAATGACGTCTTCGTGACACTATCGATGCTCTTCGGTGACGCCTTTCTAGTCTAACATTGAGATTGAAACGCATCAGACTTTCAATTTACCTGGGGCAAATTCCAATCGAATTAGTAAGGATCTAACGACTTATTTCACTTTCCACTTCGGTATACATTGATTCCTTTTTTTTTTATTTAACACGTTTTTCAGAACAACAGTACATCGCCACGAGGAATTCTGTGGTTCCATCTCGTAGCGCAAGAAACACGCCGGCTTTCGATTGTACTTAATTAACGAATCGCTTTCTGAACTGCCTATACCAGTGCATTCGCTCCTTCGCTCACGCGCAAGTCACAAACAAGGTTCGTGTACTCGGTTGGGCACCGGTAAGCCTTCTGCCCTGAGAAAGAGTCTCTAATTACATTGGCTTTACTGTTAACCGTCTCTGCAACACGTCACTCGTAATTTGTATTTGATCCTTTGATTATTTTCTGTTACGCTCTTATCAGCTCTCGGAAAGGTTTTCCCTGTTTTCTTCGCATAGAAAATACATTTTCTCTGTAAATTTACGGGAGTTTCGTTTTTAAGGTAAACTTATTAATTTCTCTGATAACTTTATTATTAGCCTGGGGTATCGAAGCAGGATGTTCACCAGATGTATATAGATATATTATTATATATTTTATTATTATGTATTATCAAACTTGTTAGCAATAACTCATAAGAGAGATCTGTTCGCTTCACGACGTCTCAGGTAACCGATTCTGGTTTGAATGTAAATTGGCCCGAGACAGCGTTATTAACAAAGTTTACACTGCGACTATGGCAGTCGGAGTTACAGTATAGTTATTGCCATTGCAGTATAAATATTCAAATTTATTACATGTGTTGCATAGAGGGATCCGCTTAAGGAACTTAAAATCTGCGAGAAGGTAACGGAATTTAACTCGTCGTATATCTTTAACATATACCAATGTGAAATAACGTTGACCAGCAGCAATTAATATTTTTATCAGTTTTCCTTCAACTTTCGTTTCTTTCCCTCTTTTTCCCCTTTTTTTCCTCTTCGTATGTATTTGCTGCAAAACATGCTACATATGGACTCTTCGTACTGCTATAACGAGTCGTACGGAAAACTCGGAATTACGTCGAACGACCGGAAGATTTATTTATATACATATATACTGTGTAATGACCACGTATATTTTATAAGGTATTTATATAAAGAGTGAAGAATGGATGGATGGGTGTAATAGGATATGTATGACCGGTATTCGTATGTTAATTAGGAACCATTCTATTGTAAGGTACAGGAGAATGTTTCGATTCTGACGACCAAACAGTGCCGTCATTCCTTAGAACATATTTCTTTACGTAATGATACAAGTATCCAACTCGATTATTTTGCATAACAATAATATTTATAATCTGATTTTCATTTTTTTTTTTGCGTTCTAATATACAATACATATAAGATCTGAACATATTTAACTGAGTACACATTTTTCTTTCGTATTTGCTCCTAATTTTTTTTTTTAAGTTTCCGTCTGAACGTTATTTCGTAAGAATCGTCGAATGGTAGCATTTCGTGGCGCTTGAATTATCCTGCGCTGGCAACGAAACTCGTGGAGAGAAAACGTTATTCTCAAATTTCTCTAATTCCTCCCTGAACAAAACCCCGCATGTATCCGTAAAGTTTTCAATAAGTTAAAACTTGTTCATCAGGTATGCGGGATATCGAGATTTTCGAGAAATTCATCCTCCTATGACGAATCAAAGGTCGTAACCAAAACCCACGCGAGAGAAACGGCCTCGTTGCATGTATCTCGTAGATTTGGTCGTCGCGTCTTGCGTCTTGCGTATCTTAGAGTAGAAACCGTATTTGTCGTGGGCATTATCGACACATATGCTCGTATGCCTACTCGCAAAATAAGAATGCCGTCATCCATTCGTATCACTATTTATAAGGAATTTCGGAGGAGGATCAATTCCAGCCAAATATGTTCATCCCATTGGACTAGGTATACGTGTCTCCTTAAAGCTTTAAAAAAAAACTGTGTACAAGTTTACAGACTCATTATAATTTTTTTCAATCCTTTTTTTTTTTTTTGAATTTCAAGCACGCCATATTCGCACGTGTCAAACAGTCAAACAGAAAGAGAGATACCTCTGATATCCATGAATGACTCGAGACGAATCTTACTTGACTACGATCTGTGTCGCACAGCCTCCGTGTAATATAAATTCGCACGCGGTCATTTACGATTCGTCGAGAATACACGAAGGCGATGCTTGTGTGGCGGTGTGCGCGAATGCGTGAATTGTCGGCGGCCTTGTTAACGCGTCGTGTAAAGATACTCCAGTTTCGTATTGAGACACAACGACTCGTTAAATTATAGTCGTGAGAAACGTAGAACGCTACCGCTGCCGACGCCAGCGCCACTTACTTTCTAGCATTAAACTCGATATCCTTCGAATTTTACGATCGCGCCTTTTGTTACTTAGAGGAACCAAATCTTGCTGTTACTCCGATCAATTTTGCATTTTGATTGACTTTAAGTAGTCACCGATGAGCTTCTTGCGTTTATCGACAAAAATTAATTAATTCTATCGTCATACCTGATTATACTGATTATCCCCTGAGCAACGAATATTGGCAAGGATTGTGTCGCTTACGTAATCCACCGTTAAGGTGGCTCTGCGACTGTACATACGTTAGTTGCACCTCAATGCGCGCATAATGCTACGCAAGTTATGCCCGGATGATTGTGCATCGTTATAGTTACTTGACACAGTTGCAATGCTCGAATTATTGTACCATAATGATTTAAGGAGTATCGTTATACCGATATTCAGAACGTGGAATGTACATTACTGAAATGATATTTTTAACATTCGATTTAATCCATTTTCCCTAATATGATTTTTTTCACGATTGGCTGCGCGAACGAAATGTTTTGGTAAAAAAGATTATATAATATAAACAAAAATTAATTTGATGCGAAAAAGCCTCGGAGAATCGTCGAGAAATATAATAGAGAGGGAATCGATGTCTTCTGGCAAGATTTCACCTTGCGGATAAATGTCACCGTTACGATAGGCCGATACGATAATTTGCATATCGACAGCAGCCTCCGACACGATGCAACGACTGTCCTCCGGTGGCCGTAGACGACGTCACGGGTAGTCGTATGCGGCATTATTAATGCATGGCCTGTGTATTGGTAGACAGGTTACGTAAGCTCTCGAGTTTGGAGAAAAATAAAAACAGATATGGGGTATTGCACAAACAGGAGGGCAATGTCACCTTTACTACGATGCGGTAGTAGCACGTAATTTCTAGTACAGGATGCATCGAACTCTTGGAAAAGAAACTTGGGTCGTCGGTACTTCCGATGCTCGAAAGAATTTCTCGAGTTCTCTCACGGCGTGAATATAGACATTTCTGTACTGCATATTATCGTAGGATATTTTTATCAGCACACAAAGACATCGTAGATATACCTAACTTGGCTGTATCGGTTTACAGGGAGAATATGTGACCGTGGTGATTTTTAGTTAACCACTTTTAGCTGTTTGCGAAGGATGGATTTTCAAGGAAGCGACGAAGGAGTTATTTGTCTTCATTTTCTTTCGTCCCAATGCTATTTTTCCTGTGCAACTTGGATTTGTCACGCTTCGTTTCGAGATTCCATTGATAAATTTATTTCATCCTTATCCATGAAATCCGACGAGGTCTCACCAGACGCAGCCCCTGTAAATATACTTCGTTAAGCTCGAGTCTCGTTCAGAGAAATATTTAATATTTAAAGGCGTCTTCGCATATTGCGCGTCAGCACGCCCTACGCGTTATATAAAAGTTTTCGAAGGGCTTTCAACGTCTTCTAACGGGACTTTCGTCCTATTATTCTTACTCCCGCGAGAATTTCATTCCTTAAAGACTCTACGTTTACGTACGAAAGATGTATAAATATACATTCAATGGAAAATTCCATCGCCTACGTAGAAATCCGTACTTGTCGGGTGGTACTCGTTTCCGAAAGAATAGAATTCTCGCTGGAAAAACACTTTTCCCAGGAAGAATGACTGCCAAATCGTAGGATTTAAATTTCAAATAAGCAGCCATATAGAGGTAAAATTCACGGGTCGACGAAAAAGTCCAGGATTAATATTCAGCAACCGTGTTAATGTTCTCGAAACTCCCTAATGGTACTTTTAAAAGATGTCAAAGTCATTGATGGATTTTTACTAACTTCCTCAAAAAAAAAAAAATAAAAAAATAAAAAAAGGATTGGAAGACCTTTTCGCCCTACATACGAAATCTGCAACTGCTACATTTCATACGTATGTGTATATACGTATGTATCTGGTTTGTGTAGCTAGTGACACATGAAACTTAACATCTCATGGTATATCGTGCAGAGCAGCCTTAGGATTAGTAAGTTAACGTAAAATACGTCCAATGAAATGTCCTTGGCGGTTCGACGTTGCTGAGCGTTAAAAATAAGCGTAATTATCAGCACGCCTTCCACCAGGCAGAAATAATACTTTGCCATCGCTGCTGGGATCGCGACATTGCAAGGCCACCTGGCTGCAGGACTTTGCATCGTGAAACGCATGCACGTGCAATGAATTACGAACCGACCGAGAGGAAGAATACAGAGAGACGATGGATACCAGAAAAACGAATAACTACGCGTATATACGTCATTTGCCAAAGACAAGAAAAGTCCGATATTCCTTTGGAATTCATAAAATTCTGCCAGACTTATTTCACGCGAATTACTTGATTGGTTCTACGATATGGTTTCATTTGTATTTCTTGGACTATCAGAGAAAAGAAAAGAAAGAAGGAAGCCTTACTCATTACTCGTGACTTACTTAATCCACAGGACGGTCGGGTATGGCAATATTTCCTACGTCGTCCTGAAAAGATACGTGTGTCGAATCCTGAAGGGAATTCGGATATTAATAGAAACGACTCGATACGGGATCTCTTGGCTGTTGTAAATTTGAACGACGTAAAATTACTTAAACTTTGCGCGTTACACTTTCACGAAGCGAAGGGAAATCCACATGTGTTATTTAGAGGTTAATAAAGGTTCACGCTGTCTGGCTGACTACGAGTATGGAGCGACGGACGACTGCGAGGAATTACCGAGAGGCTCGCGAAAGCTGGGAAACCTTTCGAAGTGGCGGATTTACCAGGAGAACGACGAGAGGAGATTAACCAACCGAGACTCGTTGCTGCTGCTGTCTAATATTTTTCAGGGCTTGTTTGCGAATCGCTCGTTAAATTTATTCGTTTCATTCGGCCGCGACTCACCGTTTACGGAACGACACAGGAGAAATAATATTATCGCAAAGTGGACTAGGCTGGTTGGAGCGCTCGTTGACAGAGATGAAATTTTCATCAATACTTTCGATTCAGACTATTCGAAGTCGATGCGCGTAATGTTGAACACATTGACAGTGTGTCGTATATGTACTGGGAGAGGAATGTGGATGGAAACGGGTATGTCGCGTGCGTGACGCGTACAAATACTGACACTCAATGCCGGTGACGATATTCTTCATTGGAAATGACCTCACTCTCTGTAAAGCCTGAGGGGAAAACTTGTCATGCTCATAAGTATCCCATTAGTTAAACCATACGTTTACGATCCAATTTTTGTTTCTCTTCTAATCAGCTCGTAACTTATTGAACCCATCATTCATACCTAATCGCAGCGTACCTCGATCCCGATATCGTAATTGGCTCAACAGTCCACCCTTGACTATGTCGGAAACGTCGATCTTATTCATCTTCTTCGCCTTATTCACGTGATTCACCTGATTCACCGTCGTAGAAACAAACGTATGCGTGATCAGTTTATTCGAGAGAGAAGAGAGAACACGCGTATTACCCGCAAACCGTAAATATACAAACAAGCTCAGTAGGTGTCAGAGCCGTAACGCCAGAAGTGTAGGTGTAAATCAGGAGACAACATATGGATTACGAAGGTTACTCGAAGTTTGTTAAAGTAGGTCTTAGATCAGGCGTCACTCCAAGCACTCGCGACAAAAATCTTCCCTTCTTATATCTGAATTTCTCGGAGTCTGTGTATTCGTTTACTTACGTCTCGATATAAATATTGATACAGTCATCAGATTATTCAAACCATCGAACGGACTGTTCTGTTACAATGAAAAATTCAAAAAATTCATCATTTTATAAATTTCGAATCTAATTTTTCACTCGAATCTTAAAAACCATTATAAATTAAATTTTTGTATAATACATGGGTAAACTTTGATTTAATAATTTAAAAACTTTCATTTCTATAAGGATTGCTATTTGAATAAAACACTTGGACGTAGGCATAAGCTTTCTCCCTGCACCGCCTACCTCTTGAAAGTCCATACGAACTTTAACCCGAGCTTAAGCACGTGGGCTGTTCGAGACACCCCATCTCGATACTTTTCAAACGAAGAGCAAAATGGATTAAGCCATTCCCGGATTAAGCTGTCTTATTGTGGAATGATGATACGTCGCGTGAGAATACGTTGTTTTCTACTGTCTTACTATTTTCTTCTTTGATTTCTCACCCTCTCTTCTCTCTCTCTCTCTCTCTCTCTCTCTCTCTCTCTCTCTCTCTCCCCACCATGAATTAGTCGCCAAGGTACTCAGGACAGTGTAACTCGCCTAGCACTCTCTTGACTCAGTCATACGGTTAGGCATGTCGCATCTAGACGGGCAAGATTATGCTCGGCCGTCGCCATCGACACACTTGACGTTTCGTTTCCTGTTTTCTCTCTTATTTTTACATTTACGCGCGCACGTTTCTTTGCCTTTCTTCTCTCACGTCCGTATAACAGTGTTTAATAACACGAAGAAATGGGTTGTTAAAAAATGGGTTGCCGTCATGATTCGCGGGTCACCGTTAACAGTTAAGTGTGACTAAGCGTGCCGTTACCATATACCGGATATTGTATCTTCGGTGTACCGGAAATGATCGAGTGGCCCGCCACGTGAAACTTGGGCGTACCCGGAATTCTTAAGTGCCGAAAAAATTTGCTCGCTATTTGATTTCAAAATAATAAATCTCGTGATGGTGGAATATAAAAATTGATAATTAAAAAATTTACACGTGTGATAATTGTGAATTAATTTTGACGAAATGGTGCTTTCAAAGTGAACATGAAATGTGAACGTTGCTCGATCGACGCTGTCTACTCTATTTTCAAAGTAAAGGCGCGCTCTATGGAAACGTCCTTCTCCTCGTGTCTCTCCGTGACGACGGAATATCACCGAGTGTTATGTAGAGTTAACGTAGCTATTTAGGCGTGGTCTTATTCTGACTTCTATATGTGCCCGCACCATGTATGTTTATACGCCTGCGCAATAAAAGGAAAATATGACTTATCTTGTCCAAACACTTGATCAAATAAATGGGTCGAGCGTGTTACGATTTTTTAAAAAGACTTAATGCAGAGCTCCACATTGTATTGTATTTGCAGAGGCATCGAGTCCTTCTCCTCGGCAAGAATTGCGACTCTCGTTACGAAACGATCGTTGATCATCGAACGCGGGATTTGGTACTAATTACCCTCGTTAATAACTTGCGCTGTCTCTTCATAAATATCCCGACTAATCGTACGTAAAGTGCGCTTTGAATTCGCCAGCGAGTAATCTCAAGCCAGCGATATCGCAATTGACCTCCGTTACGTTAGTCCCTGCTAATTAGATGAGCAAATTCGCTTGCTCGTCCCTATCGTGATTAACGATAAAGCCCATCAATAGCAAATAGTCCATACATTGTTTTTCGCCCGACTTGATAATCGTGTGCAGCAATGCCTTGGAACAATGGACAGTGGAAAATGTGACAAAACTGTCGCGCACGTGCCTACGTGCCTTCGGTATTTTAAGTCTACACAGGCGACTCTCCCGGATGGTTTCAGTGGAATTCTATAAGACGAATCCTATTGTCCCTGTGTTCCGGTTTACTTTCTACAGTACTTATTATTATTGTTGTTATTACCGTACGACATTTAAACTTCCACGTTGACATCCATAAAGTTTAACCTGAATCGTCTTACAGTCGCGTGGCTACCGGTTACGTCGACTTCTGGACTTGAGGGACGGAGGTGGTTAAGTTGAGACCTCTTGCGACCAAGTCGCTGGAGAGGTTAGGTTAGGTTATTAGGAAATTTCTATACGTCATAATACTTGTCACGGAGAGACTTTACTTTTGTATCGAGTGCTTAAGATTGTTCAAGACCTCCTTAGAGGCTCGTGTGAACAATTGACATCTTTGAGTGATAAAAAGTCAGTGCCGAAGGCGAGGATTACAGTGAAGTTTTTCGATGAATAATCCAGCAGGGTCGACAAGTCCGTTCGCAAAGTGGAATTGGAAAAGGAAAATAAGTAAATAAGAGAAAAAAGCCTTGAAAATGGGAACCGACGAGATGGACCGGGGAATACCTAGCAGCACTTTGGCCACCCTTCGTGGGATTTTAGTGAGTTCCTTGTCCAGGGAAAATCTTGGACCGCACGATCTGCCCTTACACGAACACACATCCAGGCACCGTCCACCCCGCAAGGTGCACTTTTACGAAGGTACTACCGTCTACCTACTGTTAAGCGTTCTTATAGTACAGGTAATACAGTCAATTCCTACAAAGTGAAAAGTGCCGACGTGCCTCTTATTTTGTCTAGCGCAAAACCCGTAAGTAAGTCTTATGGGAATCAGGATGACATTAAACACGTTTGGCAATTTATTCAGCAGTCTCAAACATCGATTCCTCCTTACGGAACCTGAACTTTTTGGCATCCCTCCTATTGCTGGACTGTACTGGATTTACACCGGGGCTGGCGAATGCATATGGCCACCTGGAAACTTTACGAGCTATTCACAATGAACAGCTATTCACCCTTATTCCCTGAACCCGTTTTGTCACTAAAACCCACGTCTACGTTCATAACCTCGTTAACTACGTTGATCCGCTTTAACGATGGTTATGTGCTTTTAACGATTCCCGAGAAATTCATGCAAGACGACCCTGTCGCTTTAACACGGCTGCTGTTACGTCTTTATTGTAAATGCACTATAGGCCTGTGGGCTACTTTGGACGATTTCATTAGCTTGACATTTCTGGACGATCATTGATTGATCGATATTCTGTATTTAACCGTTATATAAGGTGCGGGTGTAAAAGGATATACTGCAATGAACTGGAGTGTTATGAGCTCATGAAAATCGGGAGACGTGCCGATCGTGAGGCTCTATTCCATTTCCATTGTACGATTCAATCGTTCTTACTTGAACGGTCACTCAAGTCATTTGCGTAATTTCACGAGTCATTGCATTGTAATTGAACACTCATTGCACGTATAATAACGCACGTGAAAAGGAAGGTTAATTGATTCATCAATCGAATTTTTGTCTCTGAAACGCCTCGACGTGTTAAAATTACTTGCCTGTTAATTCAGTGCCGAAAGAAATTATGTGATAATGGTTAACGAGGAAAAAGAATTTTTTTAATATTTGGAACAAGCGGATCCCTGTTATTCCCCCTGGATATTAAACGTGAGCCAATCAAGAGAACGTCTAATTGAAATACACGAGGGAATATAATAGTGGGATTATAATTGTCTCTGGAATTGATTTATTTCCTAATTAACAATTAACCGCAACTCCACGCAAGTCTATATACTCGCCACGCACAATATTCATGGCATTCCATATCGCGCCATATCCAAAATTCCTCCCGTCATGGATACTCCACTCCGTACACTGTAGCGTTCCATCCGGTTCCGCAGAATTTCTATTGGACATGAAAATCCTTCAAGGTTAAGTTATGTGTGTGATATTATAACGTTTGCTTTATTTTACTTGTAATTCAATATCGCTCAAGTGTCTTGCAGACGGTGCATCTTCTGCAACACGAATCCACCGGAATTTTGCAATTTCTCGAGGGGAAGCCTCTTTGATATTTCTCGCACGTGCGATTTGCACGGTCCCGATGCTTCCCTATATTATAATCGAGGAGAGTCACCCTCTCCATTTTGCACTCTCAGGACGAGATTATTAAATCTTGCTACTACCCTTCTAGATTATGGGTGAAGGGCAGGTCTCTTTTTTATACATAAAAGATAAGTAGCTGCAGGTACCTCTTGTTCAATATCGTTCGTGTTATGAACATTGTTGTTTTTTTTTTTAACTTCCCATTGAGTAAACGAATTTTCATTAAAACTCCTATGGTGATCTACGTGACGTAATTGAATGAATTTTCAAATCCACCGACATTGGCGGATTAAATATTTTGGAGCATTCGATACACATTCAAAATGGACAAAGATTTGGTGCATAATATATAAAATAAGCATGGTTATTTGAAAGTTATTCAAAACTAATATGCAATACATATGTTGTACGTTCGAAAGGATGGATTGGTAGTTTTAGTGCTTTGTTTTTATTAATGTAAGAATAATAATTTACTATTGGGATAATTGCGGAGTTGATGAAACGACTCATAAGGTAAACAGATTGTAGTAACGAACGTTTAGCCCGAAGCATTTTATACTAATTATTTAAGTTTATCTTATAGAATGATAATCATTTGTAGCATATATGTATAGATAAAACCCGTGGAAACTATCTATACGTAAAATTGTTAAGGATCGAATTCTAATCTAGAACGTACCATTACGTGCTTTTTCTACTTACACGAAACAATTACCTACTCTCACCGCTTGATCCTAGCAATCTACCTTGCCTGATCAAATTATAATACCTAGAAATTGTCTTCTGGTTACTCTCTTAATCTCTCTAAGAGGTATAAAAATTGTTCAAAAGAAAGTAATAAACTTTACTTCATGCTAGTGAGAGAAAAATTCACTAAGAAATACGTATTCCCGTATCGGTGCATGTCGTAGATTTATCGTCCACCCTCTAGGTAGTTCCACGTACCTTTTTCACCACGTGCTTTACCGGAGATTCAGTTCTTGGGACGGTATACGACCAGTACGGAATGATAATTCTAGAACAATGCAGGATGTAGGCGATATCAGGGGATGCGTTAAACATCCATGGAATAACGCGAGTTTTATTTAAATGTTTCAGTACGCGGAGAAATTAATGGATGCCGAGGCTTAGTTAAGGGTCGAAAAGGGAACATTGGTAGAATGCTCGAAAAGCACAGGGAGGTAGACATATACTGCGATTAATTTCTACTTCTAATCCTTCTCATTGTTCTCCATTGATCTGAAAGAGGTGAGACAATCCAGTATATCTATAGATATATGGAGTGTCAAATCCTTGAATGTGGAATTATCAAAATTAACAGCATAAACGGCTCGAGTTCAGAGGATTATCCTCGATTGTTCCATAGAAATTCTATCCACCTACGTAATATTATATACTAGAGTGGCCATAGAAGGTAAATGTGGAAGGATCGAGACTCTTTGACGGGTGAATCGAAAATTAGCCGTATACATATATACGATACGTCCAGTTTAGTAGTCAAAGATTTAGAGCAGCAACCAAGTTGGGCAATCGGTTACTGCGACTAATTTATTGCTTTTTTTTTTTCTATCTTTTATTCACTGTAATTTTCCCTGAAGCAGCTAAAACGTTACGACGTTTCTTAAGTGAATTTTTGCTACTCGTTTATACCATCTTGTCCCTCTGATGAATTCACCCTTCTATCGCGATGTAGAGAAAATTGCTGCTAATAGGAAAGTTTCTGCGGAATGATTGATTTACTTTTAACGCAACTTTGACGTATTATATATAATCGTTTTGATTTTTTTTTTTTTTTTTTTTTTAAATAAGAAATTTCACAGAATGATGCTGCTTGTTTTTAACTTTTTGGAACAGTATCACTTTTTACTTGGACGTCTTTCATTCCTGGATTCTCACTGTTAGAGACGTTTTATCACTCGCCGTGCTATTGTCAATTTTCCTTTTCTACTTTTCTCATCCGTCTCTTCCTCTCTCAGGATCATTAATCCACGCAACTTTTTACGGATCGGTCCGTCAGGTTGTCCAGAACATGACTGATGTGTCCCCAATGACCAGTTCAACAATTTATACCATATACAACATATAAACAAGCCGAAGAAATGATAGAGGTAAATTAATACGTTTCCTTCGGATACATATAGAGTTACACTATACGGGTCAAAGGTTTATATGATGCGCCTCAATGTTCTGCGCGTGAACTCTTGAAAATGGGATGTTGCGAGAGCCTAATTAGTCTCCTCAGTTAATGTTATTCTTCATCCTTGCTTTATCTCTGTTCTGCCGTATACAGTTGTATGTACGTGCTCCTTTAAAAAACTCTGTTGCCTTCAATTGAGAGAAATTAGATACAAGAGAATTATTCGAAAGTTGTATTAGAAATACAACAATACCGAAGACTATGGTATTTTGTCTATGAATGTTGTAATACACATTGCATCCATATTTTATATCTAAAATAATGTACGTAATTCATTTTTTGGATGGGATACGTATACTTTCTTGTATAACTGTATACGTATCCTTAGGGTAACGGGCTGATCATACGTTAGATAGAATATATTATTTTTCTTGTCAATGAAATTTTGTATTTTCTAACAAGACTATCATCTCATCCAGTGATGACGATATTTTCAAGGAATTTCACGAATTAGGTTATCTCATAAAACAGATCTATTTTAAGGACGGAGCGAAATTTATATTGGATACAGTGTTTAAGGTGAAAGAATCTTATGCGATACCTAGCGGAGAACGCCTGCATTAAACAAGATGGCTGACCGAACCGCAAAATGTAAAACGCAAATCGTACTAACTAGCTGAACAAAGTGAAGAATAACCATATGGTGATGAGAGGTAATAAGTTCGCGTAGCGCTCTTTGAGTTTCTGTGATTCGAGAACAAAGAGATAGATAAATTTGAGTTTTCAAACGATCACTCAGCACAAAAGTGATCATGTGGAATCTTCGGTTGTATTACGAGCAGCTGCAGTCGCATTTACTTAGAAACTTGCAAACCGTGTGTAGTGGCAATGGTAGCATGCTCGAAAGAAAACTTTTCTCTTTTGGACAGCCATCTTTGCTTACACTATTTGCTTTCCCAACTGAGGAATATCCAACTAATTATGAAAGACACGGACGTGCAATATGGCGGAATGTATTTCTACCAGGGTGAATACTTGCTGAATAACTATATTACCTAAAGTCCCCCGTACTTTGTCTCGGCGCCGTTAAGAATCCCAATACCCCGCAATAAACGTCCCGGAGATTATTATGAAGCGTGTCAGCTGTGATAAAAGTCCAAAAGTGTTAACCAAGTCTAAGGCAAAGTGTCCTCTATTGAGGTGATAAAATATTATTAGAAACAGTTTATTCGTCCATTCTGCATCGAATGCAACATAATTGGAGGTGAATACCATTTACAAATATATCAAAGCCTCTGGCCCAGTTTCAAATCGTCATTTCACTCGGTTGGTCTAACAATGAGCTTCAAAATCTCTATCGAATTCGCGCCGCGTTCCTGCCTGCATAAATTGGTCCAGCGTTCAGCATCATCGTCCCCGCCGGACTGCATAGGCACACGTAGATGGTAAGGCCGT